CATTTTAAAATTCAGCAGGCAGTTTGAACTATTGATAGAAATGAGATTTTCTTGATTCTCTTAATTTATTATCTCCTTTTATTTTAAAATGAGCATGTGGACTTGGCATGGTTTATTAAGAGGTATGCTGTCTTGGATTATATAGTCATGGCAGAAAAGGGGGTAATACCTATTAAATCTACCAGTTCTGTTGGTTCCATAAGAACTAGTGAGACTGAGAAATCTGGAAAGCATCTATAACAGTGACTTTTAGTTCTCTGTCCCATCAGTTGGTTTGGTGAGCTTGCATAAGCCTGACCTTCCTCCCTCCATTCCCCATTCTCCTCTCCTTCTCATTTAGTATAAAGATGTGAGTATCACTGATTTATAAAACTCTTGAGACATGTCAGAGTAAAAAAGAGGAATGTGAGCTACTGACCTAGATACTAAAATCTTAAACAGTGAACTAAAGCATTTGGTAGTGTTTTCATTTACTATTGAGACAAAGCTGGGAGCTTTTGAAAGAAAAGATAGACTATATGTAGAAGGAATTATAGACTAGAACTTAATTATCTGAACAAAAGATGGCCAATACATTTTGTGTCAGGTGCCAACTACAATCAATTAACTGGTAATAGCTGCTTAGAGTGCTATGTTAAGGAGTTGTGTCCCGGCATGGCACGAAAGCTATCTGCTGTGGGTGTGCTACTAGGGGCAGCATCATGGTATTTATTTACCAACTCTGGACTAAATTGTGTTGTAAGATACCTGAATTATGGGCTTGTAGGTAGAGTAAATCTCAAAGGTTGACTACCCACATCAGTTTTATCAAGAATTCTTTATATTGCCAATGAAAATACCTGGTTAAAAATATAAAATTATACTTTAGATGTTTCTGTTATGTCACATGGAGATGAATAATGGAGGAGGGAAAAGCAATTAAAAAGGGCACAGATGTAATATGGAATAGGAATTTAAAACAGTAAGGGTCACCTAAAACAGGGGCTGGGTGGGTAGCTCAGTTGGTTGGAGCATCGTTCCAATGCCCCAAAGCTGTAGGTTCCATCCCCCATCAGGGCACATACAAGAATCAACCAGAGAGTGCATGAGTGAGTGAAACAATGAATCAATCTCTCTCTCTCCCCCCCCCCCCTCTCTAAAATCAATAAATAAAAATTTAAAAAGAAAAAAACAACAGTAAGGTGGTATCATATGCTAATATATAGAATGCAAAAAAGGTATATGAGATAACTTTTCATATGTACAACTCAAATCACATATCCTTTATTGTATATGATTGTAGCCTGACAATAGAAGCACATAAACTCATTATAAGGACATCTCAAAGAAATATTAAGTGTAGTCCTGGTTGTATCTCTTTCTCTCTCTCTCTCTCTCTCTCTCTCTCTCTCTCTCTCCACACACACACACACACACACACACACACACACACACACACACATTTATTGAAGCACAGAATAAATTTGGGTGAGTAAACAAAGAGAAAATGATATTCTGAATATTTCCTAAAAATTCTTCCCACTTGACCCAGTAAGAGATGTTATATTTCTGACCGAGATTACAAAGTGCTTCAGAAAAATAGTTAGATAGTGATAGGGGATTTCAATTATCTGAATAGCTATAAAGGTCTTCAGTCAGTTAAGAGAAGAAGTATTTAAAATGAGCAACAATTATATTAAAGATAGAAAGCTAAGGGAGTTTCACATTGGATCAGGCAATGATAAACAAGGAAAAATGACTTAATGATAGTCATAAACCTTGAAAAAGGAGATCATATTTTAGAATCGGTGATGGCCAACTTGGGAAATGTTGGATAACTGGGTCTTGTACTTTTCTAAAAATGAGATAGTATTAGAAAGTTCAGAGAAAATTTTTGCAATTGAAATATGGAAGAAAAAGAAATGGCATCTGTACAGAATTGTGTAACCAAAAATAGTTCTATGAGCCCAGAGTTAAAAAGGACATGCAAGGCAGACCTTGTAAAGGAATTCAAGTATAAAAAGAAGTGTATCAGTGATAAGGACAGAACTGTGAGAATATTTAAGAAGCCAAAGACTAGATTGAGCTGTGGCTTCTGAAATTTAAAATAGTCAAAAGGGCCCTTAAAATTTTGTGGGGAACATGAAGAACAAGAAAGGGATAAGTATACTTAAGGCAAATTGTTCATAGACAACATAAAGTTGTCCAGCCCTGCCCAGGTATCTCAGTTGGTTAGAGCATTGTCCTGATGTGCCAAGATTGCGGGTTTGATCCCCAGTTAGGGCACATACAACAATCAACCAATGAATGTATAAATAAGTGCAGCAACACATCAATTTTTCTCTTTCTCTTTTCCTTCCCCTCTCTAAAATCAATACAAAATAAATTTAAAAAGGCTGTCTATAAATAAAATCAAGGCTATAATCTTTATCAAGGCAAGTGGTTTTTCATTTGGTATGATAGAAAATATATTTAAATTGATAACATTCAAAAAGAGCACATGAATTGATAATATTAAATTATAAATAGGGAGATAAGAACAGCAGAGGTGGAAGGAAACACATATTAATTTCATCTTTTTAGTTGCTATTAAGTCATTGAGATTTAAATATACTTAATTATAAAGATGACCACCAAACAAAAAAGGCTAAGCTTGTATGAAAAGAAAAAATATCCAAACAACTCCCCCCCCCCCCAAAAAAATAGCAATAAATAGAAAATAAAGGCATTAAAAGTTCTATGGTATTCCCCTGATGCTCCAAAACATTTGTGTTCAAGAAGAAATATTTCTACAAATCTTAAACTGGTTAATTCCTGGAAAAATTCTTTGAAGATTTATGAAATAGACGGTTTGAAATCTCTTGAACAGTGATCAGAAAGAATACCATGGATTTGTGGACAACAGTCTTGCCAGAATAATATTTTCCTGTTTTTGAGATAGTAGAGGGAAATTCTCTAACTATTTCAGTTGCAATAAGGTATATGACTGTTTTTCATTTAGTCCCTGCGAATTTTGGGGCAAATATTGGCTTGATCAGCCAAACTAGCTGAGCCATTCATTAGCCAAATGTGGCTATATAAATTAACATTAAAGAAATTAAATAAAATGAAAAATTCAGTTCTTTATATACTGATTGGACAGTGCAGATACAGAATATTCCCAGCGTCAGACAGTTCTATGGGACAACACTGCCCTAGAGATTCTAATTCTGTAGTTATATGGGGTGTTCTAGATCTGGCAGTGTCTATAGAGATGACCTAAAGTAGCCCCCTTATCCACAGTTTTGCTTTCCTCAGTTTCAGTTTCCTGTGGTGCAAAAATATGAAATGGAAAAATTCCAGAAATAAACAATTCAAAATTTTAAATTGCAAGCTGTTCTGACTAGCATGATGAAATCTTGAGCAGTCCCACTCCATTTTGCCCAGGGATGGAAATCACAGCGTATCGATGCTATATATGCTACTTGCCCACTTATTAGTTACTTTTTAGCTATCTCAGTTATCATATTGACTGTCCCAGGATGGCAATCCTTGTGTTCAAGTCACTCTTATTTTATAATATGTAATGCAAGAGTGGTGATGCTGGCAATTTGGACATGCCCAAGAGAAGCTGTAAAGTGCTTCCTTTAAGTGAAAGGACTGAGTACAATAAGATATTTTGAGATAGACTACATTCACATAACTTTTATTACAGTATATCATTATAATTATTCTATTTCATTATTGGTTATTGTTGTTAATCTCTTACTGGGCCTTATTTATAAATTAAGCTTCATCATAGGTATATATGTATAGAAAAAAGCATAACATATAAAGCGTTCAGAACTATTTCCAATTTCAGGCATTCATTGCAGGGCTTAGAACATATCTTAGGACTACTGTATATATTTAGGCAGATTTGCAACTATTGGAGTGATTCTTTAGGTTCTACCTCCTATTATTTCCCCATATAACACTTCGTTTCAGCCAGCCTGTTTGTCGGTGCTCTGTGAAAATCCTTTACAAGTTCCCTTCGGTTTCTCTTCTTACCTTTGCTTTTGTTCCCATCTGCTTTTGTGAATACTGTTGGCTGGCTGTTTTCTCAGCATCTGTTCTTCCTTCCTGCTTTGCAGAGTACTGATTTTCTTGAGATGTGTGCCATCCCTCACAGCCTCGTTCCTGAGATACATAAAGTTAATACTAAGCACTATTCTCAGCATCAGTGTGTGCCTGACTGGCAAGAGGAATGGATTTTCCTTTAACTAAACTTGATTCAGGAATGGGTTTTTAACCCAAATGACATGTGAGGAGCGAAAGTCTGGAAGTAGTGAGGAAGAGTTTCCTCACTGCTGAGAGAGCCCTGGGGAGAGAAAACTCTTCTTCTAAACACTTTGTGTAGGTGTGATACCTAGCACTGCTAGGTCTATTTTCCTGTTAGCTTGAGGATAAAGCCACCATCAAGGATATAAGAGCTATGAGATGGAAAAAAAAAGTTCTTATATTCCTGAGCTGCTGAATAAACCAGCGTGAAGTCTGCCTCTCTTCTGTATTTATTTTGCAAAGATAATATTTTCTTACCATTTATCCATTTTGAATGTGTTTGTTACTTGCAGCTAAAAGCATCTTAATTATCCTTCAAAATTTAGCCCAAATTTCTACTTCAAGGAAACTTCAGGTTATTTTTGTTTACATTTCTTTATCAAAATACTTTTACAATGTGGCATTCAAACATGACTTCTTTGGTTCTGTTATAGTCCTTAAATTGTTTGATTTCCTGGTCTTCTTTCTTCAACTTAACTGCAAGTTCTTTGGAAGTTCAAACATCAAAGTATTTTGTATATAGATAGCCAAATAATCTATTTTTTTCCTCTGCTTTCCTAAATTTGTGATCATGTATATAATATGAGCTTATGGAAATATTTATTGGTGTGATAAAGAAGTTAACAATTAATTTAACAGTCTATAAAGGTTTTTATAAAATTAAAGTATACATGCAGCCTTTAAAGATTTCTGAAATAAAGACTTTGTTATTTGTTTTCCAGTTGTTACCACTGACCGAAGAAGAGAAAACTGCGGAACAACAATTAAAATCTCACTTGTCAGACCTATGAAGACATGGACTTGCAAAGGGGAACTCTGATAGAGAAGAGATCAATTCCAGAGAGATTTAAGACGATGTCTTGTTAGCACTTGGTGACCAGAGGTGGGGTATGGTGAAGGAGAAGATTTGGCTTGGGTGACTAGAAAATGATGCCTTTCACAAGAAAAGGAAATATGAGAAGGGCAGATACTAATAAATTTCAGTCAAAAGGATGGAATGGGAACAAAGGGATGTAAACAATGTATGTATGCACACATGCTTAGTTTTGCAGTTTCAGGCAGGAAGGTTTAAACACTATTTTGCATCTGTTTTTGTATAATCAGGGTAACACCAATATTCTGGCCTATCATAAAAGAATGTTTATGTACTATCAGTCAAAAGTGAATAAGCATGCTTTAAAAGATAGAAAAAATATTTGTATTATGTTATACATTATGTATATTATAGAATTTTCTAGTTTTAAAATTTTGATTGAAGATGTGGTCACATTATTAGTGAGACTGCTATGTGACCTAATCCCTCATAAAACCTAACTTTTGCAATAATCTGGTTTTTCTGTGAGAGCCTCACTTTTATTTTTGTCCTGTTCCTTCTGTTTGCTGATGTTGAGCAGCATGAGTTCTTTTTTCAAATGCTCTTTTAGGCTGTTCCTATTGTATTTCAACATGACCTTTGTTCTCCTTCAGCCTATGTTACTGTAATTGTCCATTTTATGTGAAAGCTAAGAAATGAAATCAGAAGAGCACTGGTGACTGCTACTTGCCAGATTTGTGTGTTTTTGTATGTACTTCCTTATTCATTTAAGACTTTATTTATTTTTAGAGAGAGGGGAAGGGAAATATCAATTGGTCACCTCTTACACATGCCTCAACCGGGGACTGAACCCACAACCCAGGCATGTACCCTGACCAGGAGTTGAACTGGCTACCCTTTGTGTTGCAGAACGATGCCCAACTGCCACCAATCAGGGCTCCTTATTTATTTTTAAATAACTTGACAGTAAGGTAATTGTCAAAAGTAGGGGCAGATCTTGATACAAATGTTAATCACAGGGTTATTTGTAATAGCAATACACACATCTGGCCAATAGCAGGCAAATAGGTAAGTAAATAAGTGTATCTATGCAATAAAAAGTCAGAGTTTTCTATAAATTATTACTGTTAATGTTCCAGGAAATGCTGAAGGGGAGAGGGGAAGGAGATACTGCAGTTTTGAAGACTGGGCTCTGACATCATATCTGAGATGTAAACAGCAGGTTTTAAATTCCAGTTGTGTGTCCCTGAACAAATCACTTAACTTTTATGTGCCTGCATGGTTGGAAGCACAATGAGATGGTGCTTAGCTTTGAAGGATAAATGATCTTTCCATATATGTAATAAAGATGAGGCATTGAAATATACTAGGAAAAATGAATCAAATGTTGGGTCTGCAGGTTACAGATTTATACTTTAATATAAATTTAAAAATTTCTGTTATGAGAATGTATTTGTCCATTGACCAACTTAAAATAGCTGAGAAAACAGGGTTGGGAGAGTAGCTACAGTAAAAATTGTCCTGTCTTGCTAAATATTTCAAGAACAGAAAGTGCCCCCCCCTTTTTTTTAAATTACAGAAAAATAAGTTACACCTTAGTAACATACTAATTTTATTCAGTACTCAGGCAGTTGGTATTAAGGGTATTTCTGTACATACATAATTTTTGGTGAAAGAATTTTTCCATCACAGCTTAATCTTCCTAAATTATCTTTGTCTTTGGCTCATGTAGTTTTTTCAAAAAAAAATTGTTGTTGCCCACTACTTAAAGAAAGTCCAGATGCTCCCTGACTGGTGTGCTCAGTGGGTTGGGCATCATCCAGAAAACCAGAAAAGTCCCTGGTTCAAATTCTGATCAGGGCACTTGCCTGGGTATTGGGCCAGGTCCTTGATTGGGGGTGTGCAAGAGGCAGCCTGTGGATGTTTCACTCCCTCTCTCCATTCCCTTCTCTCTGAAAATGAATGAATAAAATTTTTTTAAAGAAAGTCCAAATGCTTTGGAAATCAAGAATTTTTAAGGTTATTGTTGAGTCTCTACATGTGCATTCTAGGTTGGGCAAAGGGTAATAACTGTTTGAAAACCAGAAAGAAAAAAAATTAAATTCAAATTACTGTATTTTGCCATGTATAATGCGCTCCCCTTATATAACGTGCACTCGTGTTTTTGGCCCAAACTTTCAGAAAAAGTGTCTTTCACTTTAATTTTTTAATTTATGTTTAAAAACAAAACCGATTATCGTATTCCAGGGTATTATTTTGCATACAGATATCGTTATTGCTTTTTAGACTTACACTTTTAATGCATAAACATAAATAATTAAAAACATTTATATACAGAATTAGTACTACTCATGTTTAACGTGCATCCTTATTTTTCCCACAAAAAGTTGGGCCAAAGTGTGCATTATGAATGGCAAAATACGGTAAGAGTCTGACGCACGTCCTTTGTCTCATGCCTTCAATTCCTGCAAAAACAATATTTATGCTAGAAAATTGCAGAAAGCAGCCGCCAATATAGGAAAGCTGGATACAGCTGATATCCTTTTGGACTTGGTACACTCTCATGGAGACAGTGCACCTTAAGCGGTAAGAAATGCAGGCTATGGTGTAGGTCTTAAGTCTTCACAATTTGTGGTCCCGTTGAACCACCCCCAAAATAAGAAATTACACTGCTCTAGGCTTCACAGTCTGGGAACTTCGCTTCGATAGAGCGGAAGTCTTACAAACCTGAGACTCTGGGCTTCCTCCCAGAGAAAATAACCACTAGCCAGGAAACCCCTGCTTCACAGAGTTTCACAAAGTGTGGGTCATAAACCACCTACTGCCAAAAATCACCGACAGTGGTTGTTGAACATTTTGTTAGAGAATTTTGTGGGGCCCAAGCCTCCAGAATCACTGAGACCGCATATCTAGGGGCGTGGCTCCGGTGTTTGCGTTTCCCACAAGCATCCCAGGTGGCTCCGCTCTTTCGCGCGCAAGTTTGAGATGGGTGGGGCGCCGCCCGTACCGCGAAGGGGCAGGGCCCTGCCAATCGCTACGCGATCTGCTCCCTGCGTTATCCTGGCGTCGAAGGCACGCAATCCTGCAGTAGCGATTCGCCAAATCTCGTGTGCGCCCCCGCACCGCGGGAATTAGGAGCCCGCCTCTCCGCCCTGCTCCCCTAACGCTGCGTCCTGTGCGCATGCGCGCCGCGCCTCCAGCTGCCCTGGTTACCGTTGGTGTTTGTGAATTCCCTGCCGCGCTTTCTTTGCTGGAGACCTGCACCGCCGTGCTTCTGCAGCGGTTCGATACGCGCGCGCCCGCTGGCTCGGGTCACGTGAGCCAAGGCTGCCTCGTGGTCCCCCGCGGGCGGCTGAAACGGGAGGAAGGAGCTGCAACCACCGCTCGCCCTCCCACTGCGCCTTAGGGCGGGCACGCGGATAAAAATGGCGAAGTGGGGGTAGCTGGCGCTGAAGCGATGGGGCGCGCTAGTGGGGTGGTCGTTAGAACCTCTTGACGTGGGCGCCGGGTTCTCCGCGGCAATTTGAAGTGGAGACCTTGGGCCGGCACCTACTAGGTCAGACCACGGACTCCGTGGGTCGCCGAGGGCCCCGCCGGGAGTCGGAGGCAATGGATGAACAGAGCGTGGAGGTGAGGGGGTTTGTGGAGGTTGGTGGTTACTCCCCTCGCCACCCGCTGAGTGCTCTTTAATGGGGTCGCTTTGCCCTCGTCCTCTCTCTCTGGTAGGGCACCCTCCTCCGCCGCTGCCGCTGTGGAGAGGGCTGGCCAGGTGCGAAGCACGCCGTGCTTGTTCTGCAGCGCTCTGATGCCTCTGCTCTGTCCGTTCCCGCAGTCAGGTGGTGCGTATCCTGGCGTTTTCAGGTTGTCTCGGCACGGGTACTCAAACCCCACAGAGTTTTTGCAGCCTGCACCCTGTGCACAGCAAAACTGCGAATTCATTAGACGGACGCGCCCTGCCACTCGCAACCAGTTCTTGGGAGTTCCTGCGCGGATCCAAATCTCCCTGCGAATGGATAATCATTCCTCCCAGCGGTGTATTTTGTAGACTTTTGCCCTTCCCCTGAATGAGGATATACTCTTAACTGTCTTAATTTGGCTGTAGTTTGCCAGAACAGCCTATTCTTTTTTATACCTGACACTTGGAAGCTGTGATTTAAAATGGTTGGGGTGTTTACGTAAAGGCTAGGACTATTTAAAAAACAAGATTGGTTATTGGACATAATTGTATAATGTCTAGTTTTTAACCTTCCAAATACTAAATAAATCCTTGCTGCTTAGTAAGAGCAGCGATGTTACTGGGCACTCCACCCCACCCCAGTGTCTGCACCACACAGGTTCTTTCTGACCCTGCAGAGTCATGGTTAGACTTGAGTAATTTTCTTTTTAATTCTTCATGTGAATTGATAACTTTACCTTGGTTTTAGGAGAGTTTAATTCTCCTGTAATGGAGTAAAAATAAACGTGACTCCATAATAAACTTAAAATATTTAATAACCTACATTAAATTACATCTTTTCTTGTCACTTTCTAAATTGATTCATATGAGGCTTCTTGCAAAAGTAATATTGTTTCTTCTATTTACATGATCTGTCCTTCCTGAAGCATTGGTAGAGCTGCCACCAAAATTCTCAACAGGGGCAGAATCTCAGGCTGAAATAAGCAGCTATTTGGTTGCAACATCAGAGCAGAAATTTGGATTTCTGGATTCTGAATTCGTTTCTTTCCTGGTCAAAGTACACTGCTATTAGAACATATTTCTTTTTAAAAGTTTTTTAAAATTATAAAAACAATTTATCCCCCTTGGAGAAATTGCAAAAAAAAAAGTAAAAAGTCTTAGTGTTCCTTTAATCATATAGTCTACCTTTTTATTCTTATTGTTAAACATAGGCTTTCTCTCCCCCGTATCTGTAAATAATTCAAGAAATATTTGCAGCGACTGTCTCGTGATTTATGTTAACTGCAGTAATTTAATTAATATTTGGATATTTGGGCTAGCCAGATTCTTCCCATTATAACGAATGCTTCAGTGAAAATATTTTTGCAAAAATCTGTATGTTTGCATTTGATATCATTAGAATAGAAACATTGTGAAGCATAGATGTTCTCACTTACCCTGGACCTGATTAACCAAGTCCTGATATGTAATAAACCTAAAACTAAGATGTTATCAAGGGAATTATTTTAAACATGCTTTTTATTCTTGATTCAGTAGTCTAATCTGGTGGACTGTACATCTTTTATTGTTCTCAGAGCATTGCTGAAGTTTTCCGATGTTTCATTTGTATGGAGAAATTGCGAGATGCTCGCCTGTGTCCTCATTGCTCCAAGCTTTGTTGTTTCAGCTGTATCAGGGTAAGTTTTTATTTTTTTTTTATTTTAAATTTTGTGCCCTTTTAAAAAAATATTTTACATGAATATTCCTTAATAGGGAGACCATTAATGTATGTTGCTTAGTACTGTGGAGATGAATAACCTTCAGGTGATAACTGCCATGAAATACCTAGAAACCAAAGCGCACTGTAATTTTAGTATGTTTCATTATTAAATCACTGCACATTTAACAAGTGACTTACAAAGGGCTGGCCTGCATTGTGTTTGAGATTGAGGGATATGAAGATAAATGATGAAGTACCTCCCCTGAAAGAGTTTAAATCTAATTGAGAGAATGGACTTGTGTTTATATTAAGATGTGTACCATCATAAAGAGGCACTAACAAAATGCTGTGAGACCCAGAGGAGGGAGTGTCTATACTTGTTAGGTGGGTAAGCCAAAAAAAAAAAAAAAAAAAAAAAGCTGGATTCAAAGGCAAAGAATAAAGTCACATAATCTTATCATTACAAGACACCTTAGAGATTAATATAACCCAGTGACTTTAAAAATTGACTATAGATGAACTCTGATAAAATTATGAGGCTTACCATGTAAGAACTTATTTGGGTTGTGTGTGGGGATTCAGTAGCACATCTGCAGGCCACAGTTAAAAGGTTGAAAACTCTCCTAGCCACATTACTCTTAGGTTATTTCCTTTCCTGAGAAAATCAAAGCCATCTCACATGCTCTTTATCTCAGTTTTTCTGTGGTTCCTTATTTCTGCCTAAGGAAGATAAATATTCCTCTGAAGAGTAGTAATTAATATATATAAAACATTTGCTTCCAGTCACAGCTAGCAAATGGGGCTGGATTTGAACCAGGAAGTCTGGCTTGAGAGCATGTTTTCTTTGCCACTATCCCACATGTGGAAAACCTAGGCTATACACCATGTTAGTTCTTCTGCTCATAAACTGAGACCCAATCTTTCTTAACCTTGTTTCCTAAGCTGTAGAAGGTGGGTAATGAGATCTTCACAGGATGGTTGTGGCATTAAATGAGATAAGCTAAAAGTAATTTAGAAACTATAAAAATACTATTCTCTTGTAAGGTGTTACATTGTTGTTAAACTAGCAACTAATGCACCTCTTGTTTTTTTTTAAATTTTTATTGATTTTAGAGAGGAAGCGGGGCAGGGTGGGGGAGAAAGAGAAGCATCAATTTGTTGTTCCACTCCTCCCTCCTTCCTTTCATCTCTCATGGGAGGGCAGTTTTTCATTGCTTTGAGAAAGAGAGAAACATTGATTGGTTGCCTCTTGTACATTCTGCACATGGGGACTGAACTCGCAACCTAGGTATGTGCTTCAACCAAGGACTGAACCCGCAACCTTTCAGTATATGGGATGATAATTCTAACCAACTGAGTCACACCAGGCAGGGCAATTGGTGGTTTTCTTGGATGTGCTCTGACTGTGGATTGAACTGCAGCCTTGGCATATCCAGACCAAGCTCCAACCAACTGAGCTACCTGACCAGGGTCTCATTGATTGATTCCTGTATGTGCCCTGACTGAGGATCGAACCCACAACCTTGCTGTATCTGGACGATGTTCTAACCAACTGAGCTGCCTGGCCAGGATTTATTTATGTTTTATAAGTGGTGAAACAGAAGCTAGATAAATCAAGTTACTGGCTTCTATTACTGTAGTTAATTAAGTGGTAGAGTCTGGATAAGGACTCAGTCGTTTTGATGAAGGTTCAATAGACATATGACCTCTGATTATTACCTTATACCTCAGCGAGTCTTCATTTCTTCATTGTTACCTCTTCCTCTTGTTCCTTAAAAGCATATATCTTTCT